AATTTCTGTGGATTTGTTTCTCTAATGTACCCAGACTAACACACACACTGTTACACAGTATTTTCACAGTCTGACCATGAAACAAGCTTGAATTCACTATGAGTCGACATTTTCATCTGTTCAGGAAGTTGACAGATATCCAGAATGAACTTTGTCATCAATCAACATTTCATCTTTTTTGAAAAGTACACTTGTGTTTTTTCCACAGCTCTGTCCCTATAAGCTGTGTTCAACATCACAACAGTTTTCGCAGCATTTTTCCCAAGCAGGAAACAAAATTTCACAGCCATGCGCTTGTCTCTTAAATCAGCCATCACAAAAAATGAGGTTGGAGCGAAACTGCTTTTATGAAAAAAATTCACTGTGACCAGAGAGAACCTTCCCAGGTGACGCCACTGGGTGCGTACTACAAAATGCGTACTACAAAAGCTCCACACCACCACGTGCAATTTCAGTTTTTTGGGGTACCCCTTTGTAGGTACAACAGAAGAACCACTTCTCGGACCCACACCATCCCCATCGTTGCTTTGTTCCAACTATTGTTGCAGCCACTATGTCAATCCATCTCCCTGAGGGTCTTTTTGGCTAACCCTCTAATTTACCAAACATGATGTCCTTCTCTGGGACAGGGCCATTGTGATGACATGTCTAAAGTATGTGAGACAAAGTCTAACCATTCTGGTTTCTAAGGAGCATTCCGGCTGTATTTCTTCCACTCACCCTATACCTCACTTACATATACCTATGACTATATGTAAATATAGTCATTTCTACAAGGAACATTTTTCAGTAACTTGCTTAGGACAATGGAAATTGGCTATATCCCCCAGAACACTCTGCACCCTTCCTTCATAACACAATACTTATGATCACTTATTCAGTGCTGGTCCACCTTGTAGGCCCTGCATTCTATGGGAAGAGGAGCTATTTCTATCTTGTTCATGAGCCTAAATCCCTAATGATAGTACGAATGATGACTTAATGATTAATAAATGCCATCTGACTGATAATAGATATTTATAATACTAATAAAATTCTTATATAGTTGGTGCCTCACCCCAGAAGTGATACTAACTTTTATAATACAAACAAGCCCTCTGATCCTATCCCTCAGGAATCATCCAAGAAGCTGCCTGTCCATTTTGCCTCATCGCTAAACACTTTTCAGGGTGAAAGTTGGGTAAAGTCCCTAAGTGACAACAACAACAATATTAGGAATAACAATTGTGAGCAACATATTCTGAGGAAAATTGTTTTAGGTCCATTCCCCTAAGTGATCCAGACCATAGCTGGCAGCATGCGTTTGCACTTCTTCCATTCGACAAATGGAAGACACTGCAGCTCAGACAAATTAAACTACTTACTCTAACACCACACAATCGTAACTGGAACTGGATATATCCATCCATGAGTCCCCTGCTCCCAACCACCATTGGCATCACCTCCGGGTGAGATGCTCTTCTCTGTCCACTTACCCATGGGTGTTGTTGTGCTGCCCACCGCAGGCTATGAACAAAGGGTTTTCAGGTAGACTGCAGTCACTGGGGAAAGAGTCAAA